ATCCAATGTTAGATCAACTGAAGGGGAGATTAAGCAATAAATTGGAGATAAATTACACAATGAGTACACAATTAGAGAGAGAGAGAGAAAGAGAGGATGTGACATAAGAAAACGATATGCGTTTTGAAATTCAGAAATTGAAAGCAGAAGCGAACGGATGTCAAGTGTTTCTCAGGCCATCCATCCATTCAATCAATTACTTACACACGTATTATTCAATATTATTCTGTATTATTCTTCGTCATTAGGTATCGGATAGCCGTTTGCGAGACAATATATTTGGTGTCTCAGAGGAAAGAGAGGGATAGAGACACACATTGAGAGAATTGATTAGCAATGAGATGCGGAATGAGTGGGAAATTCATCCAAAAATGTTGTACAGGTGTTGACTCTGTGTGTCGGTCGGAGTGTGTGCGCCGTTCAGCCGCACCGCCAGCTTCTGCTGCTGTGAATGCATTTCCCAATTCATCCATTGGTTATGAAGTCATGTGACTACTCTCTGAAGTACATCAATATTTTCTGTCGCTCACAATAAGAGATCATTTGGTCGATACTGTATGCCAGTGAAGGCACCGCCACTACTACTCGCAATCACACTCACACACAGCCTCTCATACCAGCGATTCCAGTGATTCCATCGCTGGCACCACTTCTTCCACAGTCAGCCAAACCCTTCATTCCCAACGTTTAGTGCTCTTCGCTATTCATTTCATTAAAGATCTCATTTTCCAATGTTTTTTATGATTATTTCAATTAAATAATTCATACAATAGTTAAACATATCATTGGATTTGAAACAAAACATAAACTAAATCAAAGATTTTGTTGACTCTTTAAGTGCTCTCTAATTATGTGGAAATATTTCAGCGCTTTATAAGTACAATGAAGACCAAGACGTGATGCGGTTATCATTATGTGATTCTCTCTCCCATTACCATTAAAATAACTCTATTATACTAATTGGCATCACTTTTATTGCCAATATATTGTTGTATATATTGTTTCAATAATAATCATAATTATCTCCACAAATCTCCTGTATATCACTCAAGCATTTCTATCAGGTTTGAAACGTTTCCATCATTTTGATTGTTTTGTTTGAATACTTGATTCATTCGATTACTAATTGATTTATTTCTCAATTTCTATTTGATATGAAATGAGAAGAAATGTCGGATAAGAATAAATTAGAACTAAACAGTTTCGGCGGATCAGCCGCTGGTGGCGAACGATATCAGCCCAATGCTAATAACGCCAGCTCTGCCACAACTGGTGCCACAACTGGTGCTGTGCCTACGGAAGTGAAATTAGTTGATTCAGATTTACCCGAGAGAGGCCAGTGGTCGGGCAAAATGGACTTTCTTATGTCATGTATCGGTTATGCCATCGGATTAGGAAATGTCTGGAGATTTCCATACCTTTGTTATAAGAATGGAGGAGGTATTCAATCATATCATACTTTTTTGTGATTTATTAGAAATCAATTTTAAATTTATATAATTTTTAAAATTTACAATTAATAGTTATGTAAAATTTTATAATATCTTATTTTAATATTATATATAATTTATGTGATAAAAAATTTAAAATAGATTAGTTTTGATTCGTTTTGAATACATTTAATTTAAAATAATATTTTAGAATATATTTACATGAATTATAATATTTGAAAGTAAGTTATAGTAATAATAAAATGACTCTTTGTATGGACTATGGGTTTAAGCATTGAAACAAAAGCTGTCGAAACATTTGTTAAAAAATAGTCAATTTATTCCTTCACTTCCTAATTATTAATCATATTTTTGTTATGCTTTACAAAGTATATGAAGGAAATCCGATTCTGTGCAGTCATATAACAGTTAAACTCTATTATGCTTTCAGTTTAATCTTAATTATATAAATATTATATCGATATAAGAATTAAAATTCTAATACATTAACAGTTTTTGGTTTTTATATAATGAATAAACAAAACTTAAAGCACTGTCTTTGAAACCAAACCAACGTTTTAATTGTGTTTACAAAATGATACATAAATGAAATTTGAGACCAAGTGCTTGAAATTAGCATAAATTGAGTTTAACTTATAAAATAATGTATGGAAATAAATTTAATGTCAATTTACTTGGAAATTAAATGCTTGTCGTCTTATAATATAATGCAAATAGTGTTTAAAATTTGTAAAACGAGTTTAATTTTTGGTTTGAAGACTCAAACATATGTCATATAATGGTTGAGAGCATTAATCATATCCTTTATGTCTAAATTGGATTCAATAGCGTTGTGTTGTATTTCAATTAATAGACAGAATCCTTATTCCCACTCCTCTCTCCTCTCCTCTAATTGTGTACTCATTGTGTAATTTATCTCCAATTTATTGCTTAATCTCCCCTTCAGTTGATCTAACATTGGATCACAAAATCAGTATAAATCGAAAGGAATTCTAGTGCCAGTCGTTGTGCTCACAATATAACACACATTTACTTCAATGCAATCATTAAAATTTGTCCCCAACTCTCTCTCTCTCTCTCTCTCTCTCTCTC